CCCGCCCCCAGCCCCCGGGGGAGCGCGTGGAGCGAGCCAAGACAAGTCAGCGACCGCTGCATCTGCGCAGGCCTGGGTCAGGGAAGTGACCGTACAACTATATTTAATCAACTGTGATTCTGAGCAGAGACCACTCAGCGAAGGATCAATCAAAACACAATTGTGACTCCCCAAGCCCACCCTGTGCTTTTATTAACTTGGGCAAAATAGTCACCACATAATGACAGTCTGAAGAAAAGATTCTGCAGTTCAGATGTCAACGTGATGTATCACGATACTGTCTTTCTCTGGCAGCCAGGATATTATGGGCTGTAATGTGCCAATGGAGCATCAGTATCTGTGCAGCATCAGGACAGACTAGGCCTGAACATACAAGAGAAAACTGTGCTAAAAAGACGTAGCTCAGTGGCAACATAGTTTTGGAGGAACAATGTAATTTATGCAAACTGGCCCCGATGAACTGATTACAGATGCCTTTGTTAATTTCCAGTGAGCACCAAAACAGGCATGTATTTTCTTTTACTTCTTTCACCTTGCCCCTTTTTCCAGCTCCACTATACTGGCAGAACTGAAGACCGTGCTAAGTTGCAATCGGGTCCATGAACTCTGTGGAAAAACGGCTCTAGCTTGGCAGCTATGAAGAACGTGGTCCCACTACAGCACATTGCTCAACAACAGCAGGGTGTGTTTTGCCTAAGAGCTGGCAGAAGGAGGCCAAGCCAAGCATTAGCCTGGCACTCAGGAGGGAGTTACAAAGGCTTGCATCATGATGTCAGCCCTGGTTCCCATGGAATTTGTTGGCTGCATTAGTATTAGCAACCCCCAGCCATGCTCCTGATAAGCTACTTTTCAAAACAAAGTGAAGTAAATACATGCTTAGACTGTACCTTGCGCTTGATGTTTTCCAGTAAATGTGCCTTTCCTTGCTTGAAGAAAGGGTGCTGGAACTCAATGGCTGAGCTTTTCTCTGCTGTAATCATACCATTCTCCAGAGCAATCACCTTCCTGAAACCATCTGTGGAGAGGTATTAATGAAGTAATTTATTTTTCAGTGCAAAGATCAATCCACATCTCCCCTTCTTCAAGTTTTTGGACATACTTAATGTATTCCAGTTTCGCTGCGCCTGAACAGCAATACTGTACTCGAAGCTAAGATAGGTCCAGCAGCAGGAAAAGGAGGCTGCCACCGCACTGCATGTCTTCACAGGAACATTTGTATTCTAGGATCTACCCTGGCTACAAGGCAGCTAACGATTGTTTGCATCACCCCTTGGCACTCAAGTGGTAAGAGTCTCAACACCTGACACAACAGCAGCACCCATCCTGTGCCAAGAGGCGAAACATGGTCTTTCCCTCTAACGTCTCACAAAACCTAGACAGGCATCAGCTAGAGACCAGGCAAATCTAATGGGCCAGGACAGAGAGTTCCTCCCCCTGAACCCAAACGGAAATTCTAAATGAGGTGGCCACCTTCTCTATGCACTCTGCACCTTCGCTCGGCCCAGGAGCTACCTTCTGCCAAACAACTATTCCGTGCCGCGTACTGCACATCGTGCCCTATCGTGCCACCTCGCTCCGGCTTCTTTGCCTGTACGAGTCGTGTGCCCACATTATGTCACGAATGCTATGTGGCATACACAAGTTGAGCACGGAAAACATAACAAGAAACTTAGTCCGGCTTGATCCATCAGCGTGACCAGTCTTGCTCCAACACAGCAATGCAGGCAGCAGCATGATCTAGGCGATTTTTGCCATGTACTAGGCACATGGGTGTAGGTATGGCCTTTGCTCCTCTAGGCATGCTTAAGCTTGCTGTTACAATCTTTCCTCATTTGGGCTGAGACAGAGTTAATTCTCTTCCTAGTGGCTGGTTCAGAGCCATGTTTTGGATTGAGTGTGAGAATAACGTTGATAACACACCAATGCTTTGGCTGCTGCTAAGTAGTGCCTATCCTAATTCAAGAATTTTTCAGTTCCCCATGCTCTGCCAGGGAAAAGGAGCACAAGAAGCCGGGAGGGAGCACAGCCAGGACAGCCAAACTAGCCAAAGGGACATTCCACACCACAGAACATCTGACCCACTGCATAAACTGCGGGGAGCTGGCTGAGGGGGGCTGATCACAGCTTGGGCATCGATCAGCACGTGGGGGGCCACTGCATTGTGCGTCACTTGGCTTTTCTTGTTTTTTTTGTATTTCTCCTTCTGTTATATTCCTTTTTATTACAATCATTATATTTTAGTACTATTTTATTTATTAACCTGTTCTTATCCCAACCCACAAGATTTGCTGTTTTTCCAGTTCTCCTCCCCATTTCACTGGGAGGGAGGAGGGAGCGAGGGGCTGTGTGGTGTTTAGTTGCTGGTTGGGTTAAACCACGACACCGCGACCATTACCGCTACCACTGGAGCCCAGTGGCTGCTACCCAAGCTTTAGGTACCAGCACATGAAACAGCACTTTATGGCCATTGCTCAAAAGAATTCAGAGCTGAAACAGAGAAAACAACAACTAAGCCAAGCTTGACTGTTACTTTTTTCTTTCGCAAAGCACGCTCAGCACCCAAATTCAGGTTTTCAGGGATGAAAGACCTGCCAAGCCAATTGGTTTGTTTAAAGAAATTCAAATTGCTGCCCAGGAGCGATGAACTCGGCAGAAAGAAGATACAGCCGATGCTTACACATGTTAAGCTGTCGAATGAAGCTGGAGATGTTGTTGTGTTTGAAGTACTTGGGGAGCAGCTCCTTGGCAAACCTCTGCTCATCCAGAATACAGAAGTTCTCACCATTCTAGGAAATAAACAGAAGCAACAGTTAGAGAACAAGCAGAGTTTTTCTAAGGTGTTGCTCCTAAGTCAAGACCATAAGCCAACAGAGACGGTTGCTACAACAGGGAAGGGCAAAACCCTTGGCAAAGGGAACTGTCTGTGTGAGCACTTCTGAGTGCTTGGGACTGCGCTAAAACATTTGAATCCAAACAGAAAGTTGCACAGAACACTCCTGTTCAATAGAGATTTTTTAAAGCCCTCAAGTTTTGATCTCAATCCAAGGAAAAACCATTCTAAACCCCTGTGTATCTGCCGCTCTCTTTGTCCATGGGAAGCGTGAATGCTGCTCACCAGGCAGGGACGCGCACCACCGGGGCCTCCTACCCTCTCGGTGAGAGCTGCCGGGCTCCCGACCAGATCCGTCCATTGTGTGCCCTGTGTCACCACTAAAAATAACCCAGTGCCGCCCAGAGTTACTTAAAGTTCAGACAACACAGCCCAGCGGTGAAGGAGTGCAACCGTGACACCAGCGGTTTCAGATTCATCATGTTCTCCGCTTCAACCTTCCTGAAACCAGATGGGTCTGGTGCCGTTCTCATGATGTTCCCCAAGAGAACAATCATGTTTTGCCTTTGTAAGGGCCAAACCTCGGGGAAAAAAA